TAGTATATATATATATATATATATATATATATATATATATATATATATATATATATACAGTGTGCGACTTTCATTTCCTTCATAAAGATGGAGGACTTTTCAAGTTATAAAGCTAATGGTTATAGAGTAAGGTTATAAGGTTTTAAAGTTATGGAGTCAATATATATATGTAATATCGGTCTTGCATAAGTATTAAACATTGTTTAAATTTCTTCTTTGGATTTCTTTGCTCGAAAATGTATCTTTTTTTAAATATTATTCCCATGGAATTCCAGTGACAAATGAGTTAAAATTTTAATTACATAGATTAAAAATAGTCTCTGACGTTGCAGGCGGAAATGATAGATGAGCAAACGAAAAATATCATTGCAGTGTGCGACTTTTATTTCCTTGAAGAAGATGGAGGACGTTTTAAGGTTATAAAGCTAATAAATACATTTTGATGTTAATGACAGAAATAACGAAGAAAAAAAATTCTCCTGAAATTTTTGCGGGGATTAGGGAAATAGTTTCATACCATAATTATCTGTCATTTAGATATCATATCCATTTCGTCCATATCTCTATATTGCAACTCTTCCTTCATTTGAACATCAGGTCCTGTCATATTTATCGAAAAAATACACGAGTGTAATTACTACCGATATTGTGGAAAAGGAAGATCTTGATCTAGTGGGTTCTTTTATTGGTATTGAAGAAAGCTTCTTACTGCAATTACCAGAAAGAAATACAGAGTCCTCTAAGAATATTTTCATTTCCCTTTGCAGAAAAATCACCTCGCAGGATTGAAACGAACATATTTGAAGATTTCATTTCCAAGTTTAAGCGAACTTCTGAAGTTCAAGAAAGATATCATGCCAATACTAAGAAGGAATCAGGAAAGAGAGAAACAAACAACTTCGTATACTAATCTTCTTACAAGGTTCATACGTTCCATATATTCTTAACAAAAATCTTTTTTTTTACCATCCAAAAATGTAGTGCAGTTTGTTCTCGAGGTTTCAAAATAATGCAAGTTTCAGTAATTTTTAGACATTTTGGACCACGGGAAGTGCTGTTCGATGAAGGTGGTGTTTTAGAAAAAATTATTGACTTGAGGTTTTTTTTTTTCAGAATTTATTTCATTTCAAAAGATCAGATGTCGTCTCTGTAATAGAAAATGAAATGTCGTTCCTGCTTTGGGTTCACTAATCCTTTTTGATATTATTACTTAAGATAAATTTACATATGTAATACAAATTCAAATGTGATATCAGTGTATCGCAGAGTTTGAAAGAAGAACAAATAGAAACGCAATTGGATTTAAGTTTAACAGTGCTTGGTCTTAAGTGATCATTAGAGATTCCTCACAGAACTACCTTTTTTTTTTTTACTCCACACCATCAATCTGCAGAATCAGTATTTGGTTACCATGCTCAGTTATTCATGGAGATAGAAAGTTCTAACTTCCTCCAACTCTCGACTTTAAGTCTATCTTTGTGGTTAAGGATTCAGACGATGTGTGGTTTGCAACATTTATCAGTTCATTTCTGATGATTAGGGTTTTTACTAGTTTTCCATCATTATAAGCTTATAATTGCAGGGAACATGATTTGCCTTACCAAATGAGAGTGTGCATTGACATGGAAGTATTCGTAGGTCTTTGGTATCGTGTAACAGGACGAGATTTTGATCGAAGGCCAAAAATAACTCGTCATCCAACACTGATCGATCCACCAGAACCAATTATTTTAGCTTATGATATTGAAGTTACAAAACTACCTTTGAAATTTCCGGACAGCACTTTTGATGAAATCATGATGATTTCGTATATGGTCAATGGAAATGGTTTCTTAATTATTAATAGGCAGATTATTTCCACAGATGTTGATGATTTTGAGTATACTCCAAAACCGGAGTATAAGGTAATCCTTGTTGGGAATTGATCAGATGTATACTATAAAATTGGATATGATGTTCTCATTTTTGTGTAGCAATGTTCTTGCATTTCCTTTTTAAAATGCATTTTAAAAAAGTTCGTTTTTATATAAAAGAAAGTGTAAATGCAGTTTGTTTTTGTCTGTGTTTTACTTGAACTTATTTGTTCGAAATAGAACTTTTTAGATTAGTATCTTAGAACAATATGTTTAGAACTTATTAGATTAGCACTTCAGAATTTTCCTTATGCCTTCGCTTTGGTTTATCTTAATCTTTGAAAATCTTTAAGGGAATATTCCGGGTTATCAATTTGCCTGACGAAAAAGCCGTTATCAAATATTTTTTTGACCATATCATTCGACTTCGTCCGTCTGTATTCGTCACTTATAACGGCGATTCATTCGATTGGTTAGTTTATTTAACTAATTGGCGATTCCTAATCCACTTCCATATTCAATCCAGTAATCAAATTGCAGGCCTTTCGTGGAAGCTCGTGCTGCTGTGCATGGTTTGAATATGCTAACGGAAATTGGTGTTTCTAAAAATTCTTCTGGAGAGTACAGAACTACAAATGCAGTCCACCTTGATGCATTCAGGTGAGCATAATCTCTTCGTTGATCTTTGTTTAAGGTGATTTTTCAGGCATTCATAATAATAATTCGAATTTATTCATAGAATACAGTTCAAGTTCTTTCAAACTGTCAATTTTTTGTTCTTTTTTTCCATACTAACTACATTTTCAGTAGTTGTGTGATATCATCCATGATATCACACAACTGAGACCGAATGACCGAATAGAATTATGTGCGAGAATTATAGAAACAAATGTGCTAAAATTGAATACAAATTGTCAAGTTCATGTATTCATCCTGTTGATGCATTGATTCAGATGGGTGAAACGTGATAGTTACCTGCCAGTGGGAAGTCAAAATCTAAAATCTTGTACTAAAGCTAAACTTCGATATGATCCAGTTGAGCTTGATCCTGAAGAGATGTGTGCAATGGCCAAAGATGAACCTCAAGTACAATTTAATTCGGCACTTCACTTCAAATTTATTTCAATAAAGGAAAATTAAATCAAATCAAGTATTTTTAGTTTAGAATTTAATGCCTCAACCAACATCTTTTTTATTTATGTTCCTTAAACCTTCCAAAACTTAAGACACTGGCAAACTATTCAGTATCTGATGCAGTTGCAACATATTATTTATACATTAAATATGTCCATCCGTTCATCTTTGCGCTGTGTACAATTATACCTTTGGGTCCCGATGATGTAAGTCTTTTCCCTTCTATATGAGTTTACTTGTTTATTTTGAAATTTATCTTCGTCTTCAGTTTGATTTCATTTGCTTACTTGAAAGTTCAAAAAAAATTATATATCTCTCTAGTCATTTTATTATCCTTTCCTAAACTTTTTTTTCTAGTGAGAAAAATCCGAAGAACCTATTTAGCCAAAAATTGAAGCTTCTTTTCAGAATTCTATTTTAGGTACTTCGCAAAGGTTCCGGCACATTATGTGAAGCACTTCTGATGGTTAAAGCATTCCATAACAATATCATTTTCCCGAATAAATCCTTGCCCTATGGCGCAAAATATGCCAGTGATGGACATGTGATTGAAAGTGAAACATATGTTGGAGGCTATGTTGAAGCTTTGGAATCTGGTGTTTTCCGTGCCGATATTCCAGAAAAGTTCGAATTATCTCATTATCAGGGGACCTAGTTTTCTTATTATTTAAATACATGTTTTACAGATTTCGAATCGTCCCGGCCGCAATCCTAGATTTAAAACGAAATGTTAGAAAAACACTAAGTGATTCACTAACTCATGAATTTGGTGTTAACATGGATGAAGTTGTTAATTTCGACAGTGTTGTA